AAATATTCTTATGATGCGTGACCCTTTTTAAAAATAATTTATCTATTGAAAGGCTGGAAATATTGATTTGAAGTTGTTTTAGAGACAGCCTATAAAATCGCAGCCGGAGGCTCAATATCATCAACCTTGAAAAAGGGTAAAAAAGTTTAAATTTTTTTTATGTAGTAAGTAGAATTATTTGTAATTTAGAATATATATATTAAAGTATATTCTTAAGATGCGTGACCCTTTTTAAAAATAATTTATCTATTGAAAGGCTTGAAATATTGATCTAAAGCTGTTTAGAGCCGGCCTATGAAATCGCAGCCGGAGGCCCAATATTACTTCCACTGAAAAATTTTCTTCAAAAAAAAAAAAATCCCCACATAAAAAAAATCTGGCTATGAATAAATTTCCTTTTATATTACTTGTACCAGTCGGAGATGAATGCTCAAAAATGTCACAAAACACGTTAGGAACTACTCAAAAGCAGATGCACTCTATTGTTTTTCATATCGTAAGCTTCAAGGAGCGGTTCTGGAATGTGGCATATACCAAATGTTTCTGATGTAGAGACAAGCAGAAAAGAATTACCCAAAGGATCGCAATACGAGTGAATAATGTTTTGTTTAAGTTCAGCCCTGAGAAAATTGATTGCCTGGTTTATCCAGGGAGAGAAATGAGTTTTATGGGTAATTCCATACCTATTTTTCGAGCCAACCTAGGAAAAAAAAAGTTAATTACATTGTTTTATGCGATATGTTAGGTAACAACATCATTCAATATAACTTACAGTCATGTTATGTCGTGGACGATAGTCCGCCAACGCACAATCAGTCAATGCTGGGCTAGCATTGAACGAGGCAAATTTACGGATTATATTTTGGTGTACCCCACCTTCCACAGAATTGGTTCCCCTTACACATCGATAGACGGGCAGCCCATTTGCGTCTTTAGCAATAAAATAATACCAAGATACTCCAGGTGGATCAGAAACATGGCCGAGTTTAATTGTATCCAGAACAGCTTTCGATATTTTCCAAGCTTTCTTATCAAAAAGTTTGTTTCCACTGACTGAACAAACAGCATTACCGTACAAATCAAAGATACCTTTGACAACGGGATAGAGAGCAGACGGAGATGGAACATATCGTCTGACTTTTTTTAGGACCCAGTCAGGGTTTTTAACCATCATTTTTTCTATAGTCGTATTTTGGCTTCATAAATATGCTGATACCAATGCCTCATCTTCTAAATCATTAACAAACATAGCATCTCTAAACTTGCGTGAAAATTCTTTCGAGAATCCATGTGCTTTTTGGATGGGTATCATATCCATAAGATGAAAAACGTCCTTTAAGACCCTCGAAGGCAACTGGTTAAATTCATCAGCATTTCTTCGTACTTCACTGGATGAACTCGTTCCATGTGCGGGCATAATAGTGGCCGGCGTAGATTTATAGGCCTCTTCGTTGGCAGTAAAAAGCTGAAAGTGTTTTAAATCAATAATTACATCAAAAGGGGGTTCTCCGTAATCTCCCAAACATTTCTCAGCATCGCCATCAGAAACCAATACTGTTGTACCCGGGATGCACACGTCTTTGATCTTCAAACAAGCCTTATTCTTCAACTTAATTGTTTTGCTACCAGGAATTATAGTGACACCAAAGGCACAGACTTGCTTACTCCCTTTCAAATGAATCGAGACGAACATGCCAGGCTTTGGATTTTCAAAAATTTGGGTACCAGCTGCTGTAACATGTTGCAAAGTATTGAATATCTCTAAAGAGACATAGGCATCATTGGCAGCATACGTAATCTGAGATTCTGACAGACTGTTGAACTCCAATCACTTAATATTGGTGTATTATTGTCTTTTGGTAGCTTCTTTTTCAAAACGGCCGCGCAAATATATTCCAGTCCGTAAGTAGCCTTGTTTATGACACCTTTAGTCTTACAGTAACTGCCCAATTCCAATTTTCCGTGGCTGTCTTCCAATTCAAAATCCCTTTCTAACTTTTTGAGATCGCCACTTACTGCTCGTCCAATTTTGATGATAGCTTCTGACTTAAGGAAAACCTTTATTGAGCTAGGTAAGCTATTCTTATCAAACTTGTTCAATCTCAGCAGCCAGACATTTGTGTCATATGCGATCTGTACTAAGGAAACTTTTCCGATTGCAAAATGCGAGCGATTGAATTACCATTCACAATCGAATCCAACAAACAAAGTACCTTGATCATTTGCAACCCTCAGGAGATCATTGACTATTGAATTTATGGCTGTTGCGGTATCAAGAACACCAACTTTGACATCATTTGGAATTGTGTATGTGGGAAGTTCGTGGTCTATGCTTGATAAATAATTATCATTATCAAAAATTTCCAAATTATTATTTTCAGCATGTTGGTTATTAGGAGCAGTGTCACGAATATTTTCTTTTTCTTTTCCTTTTCTGCTGACATTGCCTCGAGGTATATGTTGCACGTTTTCCTTCAATATTGGAACAACAGATTCAAGAAACTTTTGATCAGCTGTGACATTGTCGGTGAAAATAAATTTTGGAAGATCAGATCCGTAAATATTGTAGCTTTGAATCAAACTATCGTATACCGGCTTGAGATGACTGTGAGCTTTTGTAGGTACCAACGCCTGAGCCCTAATTTCTTCGTACTCGTTGCATACAGTATATAATGCACCAAACACAGGAACGCCATTGATTTTCCCCATATGATCAATAATTTTAAATGAGTGATCTGCTTTAAGAATCTCTCCTCCCAAAGACGAAATCATTTTATCCATAAAAGGTCGACGGTCATTGATTATTGAGCAATACACAAAGCTAAGATAGCTAGCTGAAGGGACAGAGCCGGCATATCTTTCCTTGTCGTTGAAGGGAGAGAACTCTGGATTGACAGTTTTCTTATTCCACATTCCCATAATGGTGCTAGTTTTATGGTATCTTAACGCATCCAGATATCGAAGCTCCAACTCATCGTGTCTAAGCCCATGAAATTCCCTAAGCACCCGACTGACTTTGCTAGGCCCAAGAGAGTTTTGAGCACCAGCTCTCAACAGTTTACCCAAATCTTTAGAAATTCCAGATCTATGGGTCAGATGTGCGGGAAAATCAAGTCGAAATCTATATGGCAGCTGTTCAATCACTTTTCTGTCATAGCCAACACAGGTACCATGTTCCTTATTGGGACACTCATTGTGGTATTTGACAAAATATTACATAGAAAAGTAATGAGATAAAAGTATATTTTTATTAGGGGTAAAAATAGACTAAAAGAACTCTGCTGCTATGAAATAATTGATCCTTTTTATATTGCACAACTCTCCTGAGTTTTAATGATGAGTCAACCTTTCTGGTTTTGGAATAGATCTATACTTTGTTTCGCGCCTTGGGTTAAATGGATACTACTCGTTAGAATTGTTTCCAGATAACGTTGTCCCATATCAGTGGATCGGGAGCATGAGTATGCTAATAAATCTTTAGTATTACGAGATACTTATTTATCAGATCATGCAACGGTTACTGTAAAAGATGCATACTTGTTTGTCAAGTGTAATTGGCAATAGAACATAATAGTTGATCATTTATTCATTATCTTTGTAATGAATAAATTACGATCCCAAATATAAAATGTCTTATCGATATTTGTATATTTGGTTGTAGAAGCTAGGTATCCATTAATTCATACACTATTTCTTTATACTCTTTATCAGCAGTATAATTATATCAATATATAAGTAAATGAACCATTTATATTAATAGCTGTTCTATTCTCTCTCTGGGTAGCTAATCCATTGAGAGAACTATTAATATTAAGTTTCTCTTTCTTATAATTCTTGATTGATCTGAGAAGTTTCTCTTCTCGATCGGTGATATCGTAACTCAGTGGTATAGCATTCTGTATCCAACTGTCATTCGTATATCGTATTTAGGCCAATCATGCAATCTTTAATATAGAAGTATGTACTCGAAGTAGGAGAAGTTGTATAGCAGTATACAAGCGTATGCTGATATGCAACATCAAAGGTTGTTTTAATTTCATAGTTTATTTCTTTAAACGATTTGCTTAATTATTCTTTAAGTGGATCGTACCCAAATACGACACTCATAACGATATGTCATGATATAAAAGTTTCTGAAATTTTGCACGTTAGTCACAGTAGATTAAATAATGATGTTTACATGGACACAAAAACATACTCATGAATATCTACGATCTTTCTGGCTTTTGGATTGTCTAAGAATCCCTTCTTATTTAAATTTTTGGAGCATCCAGGAACTAAGCATTTTAACATTTTGTCTCTTGTATCCATCAATGCATGTGGCAACCAGATGAACACTTTAGGCAGATATAGTGATTCCGGATTAAGATCTTTTGATAATGCGAAATTCGCCATTAGTGGGTTTATCCAATATGTGCTACTCTTGTATGGATTTTTTGTGTCACACTCAAATTGGATCTTTTCGAGATACTTGTCTAATAGTCCACCCTTTAAAATCTTGCTTGCATCTTCATCAATTGTAAGAAACTCTTCCTCTGTCATCTCAGACTCCTCGTCTACGTAAGCGCTAACAAAGGTAGATTTAAATTAAGCTTCTGGGTATTGTGGTGAGCGGTCATAGAAAGATATTTAGTAAACAAAATGATACAAGCGGTCAGAAGCTGTAGTGGGGTGTGAGAAGGGTATGATCCTATCTTTCTCTAATGGTCGAGGAACTACTGCAGTACTTGGTACTACAGATCCTTATTCATAAATTCACATTTTTATTATTAAATAAAGTTTTCTTTTGTTCGTTTTCTATATATAAATTCGAGACTATATCTTTTTACATATCATTGCAATTTGGTGTAGTTAAAAACAACGTTTAATTAGAAACAGTTAGCTAGTCACAAGGTAGATATAAACCCCTCGCAACATTTGGTGGAGTAGCTGGGCGTGCTGCTATTTTGGAATATAATTAAACTAAAGGTTCACAAGGTTATAGAACAATACAAAAAAAAATGGCTACGGAAGGAAATTCAGTTTTGGTGTTGGGCGAAACTAGCGCAAAGAGTGCGCCTACATTTGCTAGTGGTGATAGACAGGATCCTGTTCAGTTTTTGGAGGACTTTAATGAAGCGGCTTCTTGGAATAACTGGGTGTCCACGGACAGAAGAAAGGAATTATTCTTCAGGTGTCTTACCCACTATGCGAGAGAATGGTTCTTGAACACTTTCGAAAGGGGATCGGAAGAATACAAGAAGATGAAATTCGATGATGGTACTAGTGCTTGTCTGGTCAAGCAATTTTCGGCAAAGTTCATTACTGCAGAATGGTTCGAGAAGTACGAAGAAGCGTACGAAGACCGTGTTCAACTTAAGTCCGAATCTCCTTGGGAATTCATGAATATCAAGCGTGCGTTACTCAGAAAGTTGGATCCAGTGGAACTCGCTAGTCGTACTGAAAAGCAAACGGTGAAGGAGATCAGAAAGGGTCTATTGCCTGAAGTCAAGAAGTTCTGTGACTATATGGAGAAGAATCCATACAACAATCTGGACAAGACCAAGGTTAATACCTTCGAAGGGTTGGAATCTCTATTGCGTTGGGCAGAACAATGTCACAACAACACGGGCATGGTTACAGGTCTCACCAAGGAGGTTATTAAGGTACAAGAGCCTCAACAGGTGAATGCTATCTTGAAACGAAATAATGGCGATTATGGTGGGTCAAGAGCTCCTCGTGGTTACACGGAAAAGGTGCATAACTCTAATCAA